CAAAACTCATACGATGGATTACAGTGCAAAGTGGTGCATGGAGGACAGCTGACAGATGCATTTCCAGTAAGGACCGGAGTCAGACAAGGCTGTCTACTCTCCCCATTTCTCTTCCTTCTAGTGATTGACTGGATTATGACGAATTCGACATCTGAAGGGAAATACGGAATACAATGGACTTCTCAGAATCAATTAGATGATTTGGACTTCGCAGATGACCTAGCCCTCCTCTCTCATACACATGAACAAATGCAGATGAAGACAGCAAATGTAGCAGCAGCCTCCGCATCGATAGGCCTCCACATTCACAAGGGAAAAAGCAAGATTCTCAAATGCAACACGGAGAACACCAACCCAATCACACTTGATGGCGAAACTCTGGAAGAGGTGGAAACATTCAAGTACCTGGGGAGCATCGTTGATAAACAAGGAGGATCGGATGCAGATGTAAAGGCAAGGATTGGCAAAGCAAGGGCAGCATTTCTACAATTGCAGAACATATGGAACTCAAAACAACTCTCAACCAATTTCAAGGTCAGAATCTTTAATACGAACGTCAAGACAGTCCTACTGTATGGAGCTGAAACGTGGAGAACTACTACGGACATCATCAGGAAGGTACAAGTATTCATAAACAGTTGTCTACGCAAAATATTCAACATCCATTGGCCGGATACTATCAGCAACAGCGTTTTATGGGAGAGGACAAACCAGCTTCCAGCTGAAGAGGAAATAAGGAAAAGACGTTGGAAGTGGATCGGACATACATTAAGGAAATCACCAATGTACATCACGACTCAATCCGTAACTTGGAATCCGGAAGGGAAGCGGAAAAGAGGAAGGCCAAAGAACACACTACGCCGGGAAATAGAAGCCGATATGAAAAGGATGAATAGCAACTGGAAAGAACTGGAAAGGAAGGCTCAGGACAGAGTTGGATGGAGAATGCTGGTGAGCGGCCTATGCTCCTCGACGAGGGGTAACAGGCGTAAGTAAGTAAGTATCATTGATGAACACGGTGGATCAGATGCAGATGTGAGGGCGCGGATCGGGAAGGCAAGAGCAGCATACCTACAACTGAAAAACATCTGGAGCTCAGAACAATTGTCAACCAACACCAAGGTTAGAATTTTCAATACAAATGTGAAGACAGTTCTACTGTATGGGGCGGAGACGTGGAGAACTACGAAAGCCATTATCCAGAAGATACAAGCGTTTATTAACAGCTGTCTACGCAAAATACTTCGGATCCGTTGGCCAGACACTATCATCAACAAGTTACTGTAGGAGGCAACAAAACAGATTCCAGCAGAGGAAGAAATCAGGAAGAAGCGCTGGAAGTGGATTGGGCACACTTTGAGGAAATCACCTAATTGTGTCACAAGACAAGCCCTCACATGGAATCCTGAAGGTCAAAGGAGAAGAGGAAGACCAAAGAACACATTACGCCGAGAAATAGAGACAGGCATGAGAAGAATGAACAAAAACTGAATAGAACTAGAAAAGAAAGCCCAGGACAGAGTGGGTTGGAGAATGCTGATCGGCGGCCTATGCCCCATTGGGAGTAACAGGCGAAAGTAAGTAAGTTTTGAACAATTAAAACGGAGATGGAACAAGTGCATTGTTACAAATGAAAAATCAGTAAAAGAGCATAAAATTTGTATACCCTAAATTTTGCTAAATAAAGCTTTCTTTTTACTTTGGTTTAGCTATTTACTAAACGAATCATGTATTCAAAGAGTAAATAACCAGAATAGTTACATCGAATAGAATTTTATACATAGTGACTTATTTTAAAAGGTTCATAAAAGCACTTTTGATTAGATCTATAGAAAACGAATGTCTCGCTGTATACATACATAGGTTTAATCGATATTTTCTTCTACGAAATCATTTTATATGTAATGGAATAATTACAACAGTACTAAATGCTTTTTCTATTGTTTCGTCAACTTCTGTCTGGCACAGATCCAAAAATGAATACATGTAGTAGGAAGGAAGAGATGGATGGATGACTGAAGGGAGGAGAGAGAAAGAGATGGAGAGGGGAACACAACCAACGATTAATAAAACTTCAAAATGCTAAGTGACTGTTGTCTTATTTTACTAGTTTTTCTTTTTGGTTTCACGTAGGTTTGCATATTGGGAAGAGAGCGCTCACAAAATAGTGAGACTTTTGAAGACAAACAAGCGAATCAATACAGCAATGTCTACATATATATGTATATATAATTCAGGTTAACAGTTTTCAGGGGATTTGCAAGTAAGTTTTACTACAACTTTATGGTAAATAATTAGCAATTAATTGATCTAGCTCTGAGACTTGGTAGAATAAGGTATCGATTTAATTTTAAACATTTTTTAAAAGTATAATAGAGATCAACAAAAACCCGGAACGATATCAAAATTAATCAGAAATACACATGTAAACAAACATTTTTGTTCTATATAACTCACAAACCAAGTAGGAATGTTTTGTACTCAGTCCTCAATTACACTACTTGCATGAAAGCTAATGACTCGACGATCAACCCGCTTAAATCAAAGTATGTGAAGTACGATATTATAGTATGCATTATGGGTTGGAAAATAATTGCTTTACCAGTTAGGTCACCGCTGGCCCCAATGTGGAATGATTGAATGATATCACAAGAAATGAATACATGTCCACTCAGATTAATTTTCAGCTATACCAGTTAGGATTGTCAAAAAAACTCACTGATAATAAATTTATTGTCTATATTGACCTAAACAAGAAGTAAACTATGGAAGTAAACACAGACTCTCAGAAACGGTACAAACTAGTGATATAACCTAATCTAACTATAATCTGAAACATCTTCCACATATTTTTCCCTATTCTAGCTAATACAAAATGTACGGAAATTTGTAAGTATTATATGATATTTGTAGCAAACACAACAGATATCTCGATGATGTTACGTTTTCTGAGCACTGCGACTTAATTTCTAAGCTTTAGTTACGTTCTCGATAGTGTCTACTTCATATAAAAGTAGTCTTTACAAAATGTGCTCCAAAAGTGTCAAATTATTCTATTTTCAGACAGGATCATTAAGATAATTTGATTTGTTACTTATGAAATATAGTATTAAAAAACTTTATTTAAAATGTATGTTGATCATATTCTAATCAGAATGGTAATGAACGATTAGCGACTGATCTATCTAGCTAAAAGAACCCAATAAACTAACAAACGGAACCATAGTTTACATCACGAAACAACTCAAGTTAGATAACTATTGAAAACTAGGAAGTACTGGACATTTATTTCGTCCTAGGATGAGATTCTTCTGCAGTGCGCATCAACAAACACACTGACGATCGAACTTAGAATCTTCAGGTCTTCGGATGAGAGACTAACCGCTAAAATACTGAATAGGGACTCAATTGTTTACATTCCTAACATCAATCAATTTGCGATATTATTGTCTAAATAAGGTCAGTCCATAATGTAAATTATAAAATTTAACAATTTCCACAAATTCTTTACAATAACAACCGAACATAATTTCAGAGGGTTATAAATATTTTGTTTTATTTCACATTGCCAATAAGTTGGACTAACGAAGAAATCATAATCTGGAAAGTTTAAAAATGCATATATCATATTATTCATTGAAAAAGAAATGTTTTTTATGTACCTAAAAAAAGAACACCATCCTTAGGTTTAGATTAATTTGTTCATGTATATTCGATCACAATTTAATGAAATGTATCGATTATGTAAACTATTGTTGGTGCCCCGGCAGGTCGACGAAACTATGGAAGTCAGCGAGCCGCAGACTCAACATTCTGACGGAGATTTTGACACAGACTGCAGTGAAAGAAGAAAGTGTCATGGAGAGCAGAACCACCGCATGAACGAATGCTTTAAAGGGGGGACGAGTGTGGTGCGGTCTACTAATATCCATATAAGTAGTATATGGTGATAAGTAATATAGTATATGGTGATGGTCAGATATAGAATGTATTTTGGCAGAAGATCGGTAAGGAAATAATAGAAATGAAGCGCATCCGGTACGAAAAAGCATGGACGATCAAATCAGAGTTGGATTGATAATTGCAGAAGGAACAGTTAAGATTGAGACAATTGATTGTTATTTTGCAAATTAAATGATGACTGTATGGTTATCAGAATTTAGTGAGATAGTCTGTAATTTGTGCCTAAATACATTCGATTGTCCCCACTCGTGTTCTATTCACTACACTATGAAGGATCGACAACAATCAACTTCATTTGCTATTACAATACCAAGTTATTTGAAAATATAAAATTACATTTGTCATTCAGTTAACTTGTGATCTAGAAATAAAAACGGATTTAAATATTAATTCATTAAATCACCTACCAGGTACACAATCCTATACTTAGCTTAAAGCTACCTACACTAAATGTAAGGATTATTTATACTATATAGTTGCCCAAACTGAAATAGGTGAAGCAGTTTTCAAACCTATAATGGCTAAAAGTTGAACACATTAACTAATGAGTCGCCGAATTTACACTAATCATCACACTTACACAATGACTCACAAATTTTAATGTTGACTTTACTCCATCTACCTTCCTTGTAATTTTTGTCAATGATTTATTCAAATTATGATGAACAATAAGTTAATCCTTCCTAAAGCTTAGTTATCGGAATAGTTGGAATCTAAAACTGAATAGAGTGCAATCATTAGTTCTAAACATGAAGTTACTGAAAGTCACAACAAATCTGTCTTCCAATTATAATATTTACTGAGATGCATCAATAGAGATCTATAATTTGATAATCATATACAACTGGATATACGAATTTTTGGCAATCTGAATTATAGATAATAAAAACCCTTTCAAAAAAGTTTATTTTCGAAGAAATGCAAACTTTTCATGGGTAAGAAGGTCAACAAAACGTCCAATGATGAGCCCATCTAGTAGCCAGGATAATGGAGAGGTTATTATCATACACGTGATAAAAATAAAAATATTAACTTACCAATCAATGGCACTGAAACAGTTGTTCCAACTTCATTGGAAGAAGTTGAACAGGAATAAGACAATCCATTATCCAATATAGGTGTTACCTCTTTTATCTTATCACAAGATAACTCATCCGATGAAGTACATTCGTTGATCTGAATAGTTTTGAAAGGTAAAGTCGAAGGATTAAAGTTTATTTTAGTCATTTCAACGTGATTTGATTCCAACAAACTCTTTGAATGCGACAGTGATATAGTTTTATTTTTAGATAGACTTTGTTTTGAGCAAATTTTATCCTAAAAAATTTAATGACAGAAAATATGATTTAACAATCCGATATTTGGAAAAGCTGAAAAATTAGAAAAAAGTAGATTAGCAACTGTTAAGGTACCTGAGAATTTGATGGTCTGCATTAACAATTCTCAAAATGGAATGGTTCTCTTATTATTATCTAAAGAACCATACTACTTAGCAAACACATGAGTAGTAACCGAACAATAATAATACCCAAAATTTAGAACTAGTAAAATTATATTTACAGAAATTATTGAACTGTGAGATATATGCATACAGGCTTACAAGAGAATACACATACATACAAACTAAAAGAACAACATACAGAGTCAGACCATAACGTTACTGGAAAGGATGTTTTCTAAAAAAATTTGTAGGCTTTGGATTTTTATAGTTATTTAGTTAGTTATCAGTTTAATGTAACTTACCTACCAAGTACCTGTCCATACCCATTACTTTAAGCTATGTCATTTAGTTATGTGAAGACCAATTTGGTGGAAGTGAGGTCTGAACCTAATGATTGAAATCTGGGTGGTTTAACCACCAAACAATCATTCCACTGGTTAGGAGTTTAAACAAAAGTGACAGGGTACGATAGATTTGTTGGCAGCTATATTTGTTTGATGTGTTATAGTTCTTGTGTGAACTTACCACAGGTTTGCCAACAGGCAATTATCACTATTACTTTCTGGTAGCGGATGATTAAAAGAATTTGCTTAACGAAATGATAGATATGATTGTTCTTTTTTAACATGGTCTTTATCATGACCCGCAAAAACTTTTTCAGCAATTTTCTGATGAGAATCAAAAAAGGTCTGTAGCTCCGTCAGTTATCGGCAACGTAGAATCTGGCGCATTTGTGCATAGCTTTACACTGTCACAGTGTGTTAGCACAGTGAGAGAATTATCAAAAAAGCACCAGCATAATCGAAGTAATAACAGTAGTAACAGAACAGATTAAGCGTAAACAATTCGATTCAAGGAAGAATAAATTCACGGCTGGTTCTGAGCCATGACACCCAACGTCTCCAACCATTGGTGACAATAATCGTGCAGACCCCAACCTGGTAGTCCGCTAGATACCAACACGAGCCAACAAAGCGGTCGAGGAATTCATGGACTGATGGTGTTAGTGGTTATAAAATGACTGACCCTTAACAACTAAGTTTCAGGTCCGAAGCCGGCTGCTTCTGTAACAGAGGTTGACCAAAACAATAATAACTGCACAAGGAATCGTAACACTAAATCGAATGCATAAACTTGCACATGACTAGTTAGCTATATTAACATTTGACTAGTTACAAAAATCTAAGTCTGTTAAATAAATTTAAGAATGAAGAATGCATCATAAGAAAATGTATCCAAGTTCTTGTAATAGATAATAAACAGAATGGCAATATGATTACCTAACTATCATTTAGTACTTTGCTGTAGCCAGTAAACATAAACGATTCACCTAATGATTACTGAAAATCTACGAAAATTAAAGCTATCTCTACGGTTCGTTATTATTGTTGATGTGAACGTTACTTCATTTTAATTAAGAGCAAAGTACTTCATATGAACATTCATGGAAATTTAAATTTTCCGACAAAAGTTGAGCGCCGAGTAAATATTATTCAAAAGCATTGTGGAAACAAAATTAGAACAAAAATGTAAGTTCTACTACTAGTAAAACATAAGTATTTACTGTGTGATTTTGGTGGATTAGGTAGGGAGGTTTTAACCCTAGTAAAATTCAGTCGGACAAAAAGGCGTGAACCACAAGTCTTGCACATGAACATGCATTCTGATAACCATCAGAAGGAGAAAAATAACCAAAATAAATCAGCAACTAATAAATCGGAGACACTAAACGGTTTTAACATAATTAGAACTAAGCTCATTGTTTTGGAAATTTCAGCCACAGAATAAAGTAAAAACATGTTAAGTAATACAAAAAGTAGAAAAAAAGATTCCCACCATTTCATCAGTATTATCAAATCCAATAGATGTTATTGTCCTTTCCTCTGATGAAGGACGCCTCAACAGTTGCTGATTGGCCACAGAGCGCGTTCTTTGAGGTAACTCAATTTGTTCGCCGTGATATTTGACTAAATGACGAAGAAGTCCAATTTCAGCCTGGTATCGACGGCCACACCTTGGATGAGGACACTGTTGTTGGAAAAAACACGATTAGACGGCAATTATACTTCAAAGTAAGAATAAATATGGGTATTCTAACAAAATTAAAAAATTCCTACCATTTTCATGATATTCAGTTCAATCTCAAAATATAGTATGCCAGACATCAGTAAGGACATTAAAATATGCGCGTACATAATTTTGTGAAAATCATGCACATTAACTGATTAGACACACTGGAGGGATTATTATTTCTTCAGGTATGAAAACGTCCGGTTCCTCAGCGGTAATCCACCTTTAATGGTTAAAATGACCGCAAAACTAATAATACATTCAACTACGATTTGGCATAGGAGTACTATTGGTTGGTGAAAGTCGGTAAAATAGACAAAAGGTAGGACCTACCAAAAAATGTGCTCCATTCTACTCGTGAAATTGTAAACGGATTAAATTAAAAGTGGTAGGAAAACGGTATGATTAACAATTAGAAATAAATTTGTGAACAATGAGTATAACTTTTGGATAAAATGGTATCTAAGACACCATGGAAAAGAAATAATGTGTCTACTCCAGGCTAACTAAACTGAACTACATCCGACAAAAATTCATTGGAAAAACTTTACTTTTCAGACAGCCCAAGACAATAATTAGGAACTTTATTAATCAATGTCATAGTGTATTGAGGTCTGTTTTAGTAAAAAGATGTGAGACACCTAGGTTCTAGGTTCACCTACTAATACATCTAGAAGACCCCGACTAAATCTTTTCAAGGAGTGGAATAATATCTAGAAAATAGAAGCTAGATAGTTAACTGAGGATACATAGGAAGAAGTTTGACGTCAATTATAATAAATATTTCTGCCTTAAAATCGACCACTCTGGCATTAATTCAGATGCCGAAAAAAAGACAACTGTTAAAGTCAACGTTAAGGGACGATTATTCCTGACTTTCGGATAAAGAAAAACTGATCACTTACAATATGTTTGAAACGGTCATCTGAAGTAGTACCTGTTGAACAACTAAGACGATTAGTCGATGTGATCTCCATACCAGCTGTGGGCTGAGGACTTCTCGGTGACTGATAAGAAACCTATTTGGAAGAAAAAAATCCACACAAACTTGACAAAAAACATATACTACACTTTTGAAATTGGGTAGCAATGGCAATTGCCATTTGGTTAAGGCGAAATATGATTAAATATAAATCATCGGTAGGTAATCGATGAGTAAATGTTTACGTAACGAATAACACAGCTGAAGTTATAGCTGTCTGTGGGTCAAGTTGAGAAAAACTGTAAAGAGGTTAGATACTATTCAACTGTTGAAGTAAAGCAAATTGAAAGGGTTTCGAACCAGTCATTCTACGGTTGGCACCGACAGGGACTTACTGGCAGTTACTTGATTTTTTAAATGCTTACTACACCGGTATTTATCTGTGAGAATAGCTAGGAAGAGTAAAATTGACCACCATAAAATAAGCTGTGTTAACATATAGTAAGGTTTTGTATCCAAGCGACAAGTGAAATCCAACAAACTTTGGAAACAGTTGAACGAGACCCTGTAAGTATCTGTAGATTAATGTACAGACCTGCACTAGCGTTTAACGCGTGGGATTATATGCTGATTTACTGGCTTACAGTATAACTTGATTAAAACATTACTATGGTTATTCGGATGAAAAATAGATCGCATTTAAACATATTGTTTAGGGCTGGTTAGTTATTATTCTTAAAACATGTATCGTTTACTTGACTTGTTTTCTATTATTAAAAAAGGTATAGACGAGTATCGAAAACAGGAATTTACCAAGAACTAGTACTCACATGTTGATTGTTTGCATTTCCTTGATTTTTAGCATTAAAAACAGAATATTCCCCCGTACCCGCAGTAGATTTGGACAAAATTTTGGCCTGGTTTGCTCTTCTTACTGACAGATAAGCTTGTCGATACCTGCTTGCCTCATGAATATTTGAAGCTTTAAAAGGGTTTTGGTATCGTGCATGAGTGGCCAAATCGAGACTTCCAATTGGGGAGCGATCACGAAAAACATTAGATATGGAGTCTTTGGTGGATATGTTACAGAGGTTCGTACCAGAGCACGCTTTAGAGCGAAGTGTTGCATTGGGGAACTTATGTTTGTGAGTCGCTGTTCCGCTGGACTCCGATCCAAGAGCTAATGCACCTAATTCAGCCACACTTCGGCATGATGGAAAAAAGGGAAGTATATCAGCCATTGACTGCAGCGAAACGGTTTTTGGATTACGCTGTTTATGGAGAACTTCATTTTCGTGTTTCTCAACATCAATGGTCTGAAGTCTAGAGGAAGATATATGACAAGAATTCGGGCTGTCAAGAGTGCTTAGATCTTTGAATGAATTTCCGGCTTCAGAAGACACGGTACTGTCCAAAACCAAGGTGTGGCATACATTTGATGACACAGGCAGTCCGTCTACTTGAGGACTATTGATACACATAGACGAGTCATTAGCTACATTATGTTCTATAGCCTCGGATTCATTGATAAGGTTGACTTTGACAGACTGCGACGAACAGTTTTTCCCATTGAAAGGATGTGGATTACTCATAGCTCCACTTTTAATGTATCCGACTGAATCCTGACATAGATTGTCAGATATATCACAGAAATTGATATGGGTGGTAATGTTGCTACATATACCATTTGTGGGTTTAGATGGAGATGAGTTTGCGGAAGTCAGATTGCTGAGTATTTCATCAACCTCCCGGACACTAATTGTCGGTAACTCGATGTTAGGATCTAAAAGGCTATTAAACAGAGAAACAGGGTTGATATTCCTTTCATTTTCCTTTTGAGTACACTTTATTGGAACGTTAGCAGAGCATCCGTTTGAGGAATGGACGTCGGGAAAGCCACCTGATACACTCGAAAAAAGGATCCCACCTGGAGACCGGCAAAATCTGGAAACATTTTTATGCGACGTTCTACCAGTGATGAATATTCTTGTGTTCCCTACAGGATTTTGACGTAATGAACTCATTTGGAGACTAGCGCTGGAGAATTACTACGATATTAATTTGATCACTCAGTTCCCCAAGAAATACTTGGCACTTCTTGACCGCGCCTAAACATTTGCTAAGTTTACTCAGGGAAATCGGTCCAAATAATGAGTTCAATGTGTCGCTATCCGTATATCCAGTGACACGACAAATTTTAGTGGCATCATTTAGTGGTAAACTAGCCACATGAATTAGGGAGATTAAGAACAGTCCCAATTTACAACATAGGCTTTGGATCCAAGAGCTTTGACTGTCCGGTAACGATGACCTTCAACTATTGGTTTTAGAATACTTGTCATAGTGTCCAATATTCAAAATCCACAGAACTTTAAATAATGATGAATAGACGGAAAACCTAGTTTTAATAAGATATCATGACTCCAAGCAATAGAATATCAATCAATCTACATGGGAACCAAAGCATACGAATACCGAGTAGAAGTCGATAAACCTAGCTGTTAAATGTTGATACACAATGCTACTCAAAAACCCTCGGTAAGAATCACGCACCCGCCTGAAAGATAGTGATAAGTTTGCTGCGACTATCTTAGATGCTAGAAAACCCAGAGAGTTAGGTATTGAGGTTGAATAGATACTATCTTCTGTGCATTTTTACAGTCGTGATACATACTAAAATGAATGATTCTTCCTCTTTTTCTTGCGTAAAATGTCAATAGGCACGATTTGCTATTAGACTGGCATTCTTCTGGAACTCACAGTCATTCAAATTCAAGTACAGTCTTATAAAAGTAGGGCTGGTATAGTACACTCTAGGTAACAGATTGCAAACCTCTAATATCCATAGTATATTTCTCCTGGTTGATTTCCAATGAGGAATCTGTCATGGAATTCCTCCTGTAGTGGCTTTTCACTATTTTCTAAGCATAAACTTAATTATTATTTCTCTTACATTGACGCTATTGATGATCTTATACAATTAATCTAACCGAACTAATTTCGCAGAGTATCCGTATACTCCTGACGGTTGAACGATGCAAACGAGTGATAGAAAATGGATTTGATGTGACTGGAATTACTGTGGTATTTTCAATAACTGATGATTCCTCTGTACTTGGTTGGGCACTGACTAAGAATTCTAAATATAATACATTCATTTGTGCTCACCTGGTTCTACCCACCTTGATTAGTACAATTTCGGAACTTCTTAGTTAGGACATAAATTCGAATGCCTCAAATTGTCATACTGGAGTCCCAATGGAGTCAAATCTTTGGCAGTTGGGTACTAATCCATGTGAGGATGACTTAGAAGACTACATAGAGTGGTTTGAGACCTGGTAGGTGACTAGTAAAATATTAAATAAGATAAATTCACAGCTTATTTCTTGACGTTCATAGTCAAAGAAGCTTATAACTTATACAACAATCTAGTTTTCTCAGAGAAATCAACTTTATTGTCACATGAATATCTCAAGCTGTTACTACGTAGTCAAATCCAGTGTGCTGTTTGGAATGTATTGAGAGATCGAAGTTTCATAAAATGATGGAACAAAATGAACAGAAAGTCAAAGTCTTCATACTTGAACTACGGAAACAGGCTGCGAAATGCGATTTTGGGAACGGATTAAAAACTGAACTTCGTGATTGCCTAGTTGCTAGTAAAAATATTTCGAATTTGGAATGAGAATTTACTCACGAACCTCAAGGTCCATTCTGAAAAATTAAAACTGCATGAATTAACAATGGGGGAGTGAATGATCCTAACTTTCTGTCACTGAAGAATTCTAATACTTTGGTTGGTCGTCGTGATGAACTACATTCTCAGGGTCACTGAAGCTAGTGTTTGTTTAATAACGACTCCCATTCTCGTGAAAATATAAAAATATGATTCAACAAAGAATTGCTTGTTCATACATGCCTTGTTAGCTTTTAGTTTGTGAAACATGACAGTCAGTGCCGTGTTTAAAAAATTTGGAAAGGCCTAAAGTAGGTTCGCCTTTATTAGTTTCTAATAAGGATTTTGACAACGCTTTAAACAGCAACACCTATTATCAATATATCGAGGATTGACTGGTCTAGACTGGCTAGCGATTGCAGTGGATGTTGAGCACGGCATTTCCACTGTTGGTCTGGCGCGCATATATGACCGAGTGCCTTCTGCTACGTGAGTCAATTAAAACTAATGTGATCAGCACCTAATGTCGAAGATGTGGTAGGAGATAAATGAATATACATGTCGTACAACATACAATTGTGGGACATGTCATGCGTCGAAAAATCATCCTTCGAAGTGAACTCTATAGCCAGATTTGGTGACCGATAATGGTTCTCATTTTTCTGCAGATGCAGTCACTACCTGGTTGAATAATTTCGGGTTCACGCATTTTTTTAATTGTTCCCAGACACTTATTCTAATGGTCATGCAGAAAATGTCATCAGAACATTCAAAACTGCTATTAATTCTATTGCTACCTCAACATTTGATAAACTGGAGATGCTAAACATTCCATCAAAGTTATTAAAAGTGAATATTCTATATTCGAATATGAGGTGTTTGGAGTTTGCAGAGATTACATATTATCTCAGGAATGATCTTCGGACAGTAAAGGAGGTCGTGGTTCTAAGATCCAAACCTAAATTCCAATAGGTCTGACTTTGGCTGAATAACCATAATAAAAGTTTAGTAACGCTTTTCACAATCGAAATCAGAACAAGATTATTGGGTTAATAACGGTTATAAAATTCATCATATATACAACTGCACAAATTTGCCTAAACAAATATTACCATTCAGTTATTCAACCAACAATTGATCCCAACATATTCAACTTAAATTACAATGAATAGCAAAGTGGTAAGAAATATATGAAAATTACCGAACACACCAAAAAGTAAGTGTTACTCTATCCTTTCTGGATAGATCAAGTAAGATTCGGTTTGAGCGGCTGTTCTGTAATAAAAAGTGTTTCAACTTTTGGGAAAGAGCTCCAATTTACAACCAAAATGCACAATCCCGGTCAAAATCAAACCGCACAATCAAAAAGCGAGTAGTCAATACGGCAGCTGCCAGAATAATATCAATTAAAACAAATCATATACAGTTGAAGAAGAATATTGAAATCCAATGAAAGCAACAGCATAAACTGAGAAAACTATCATAAAATGAAACACCACAATACAAATGGCATCGAATATATTAACAATAATGTACAAACAACGAAAACATTGGGAAGAAGCTATGGATGTATAGATGGAGGGATTTTCACATACGAAAACCTCAAAATGGATTCTACATCAGCCCGCAAATTCCCTCCACATTACACAAGCCATTTCGATGCCTTATGTCATGGTTCAACTTATAGTATGATCCTCACTAAAGGAACGAGTAGGACTTACAACAGTACGTCTACACGTCCGCCCTACGGAAGAATTACTCACTAATCTCTTATTCGTTCGACTGGTTACTGACTTTATCGCCCGATCACCATTTGCTTTCATAGCTTCTGAGCATTCCTGAAGGCCACCTTCTATGGGTCGAAGATCCTGCATCCATAATTACTTTATCTCTCTTTTTTGCTACAGAAGTTGCGAAGTAATTTACTGTTTGTTGAGAATTCTCATTAACGCGTTCGCAAGCTGCAAAAATCTTAGACCCCCGGTCACTGTCATGTTCACCATCGACGTTAGCTGATGACCTTAATCGCTTACGTTTGTTCTCAAAGTTACCTCCTGGTGTTTTATACTCTCCTAATTGAAGCGCACTTTGGTCTCGAATCGATTTAAACTTCTCAATTACTTGGCTTCCATCTTTCGTCTGAATTCCTAATTGTAAAACCGTGCTTAACAAACCTTTTCCGTTCATCAAACAATCGAGACTTCACATTCAACTGCTTTTTCAGAACGAGGAATTACTTCTAACATTCCTTGTAAAGTCACTTTCTGTATACGCTGTAGTTATGCACCAGAGTATTTTGATGTCTAATATTGCTGTGCAATTGAATGATGTAACGCTTTTATACTGCATTCTGTCACACTAAATTCTTTTAAATATTACATTTGTTTCTGTTACAATTGTTCGTGATCTGTTTCATTCCACCGCAAGATACATACTACGTAGCATTGTGAACTCCAGTAATCTCATTTAACCATATCAGTCACCTGATTAGTCAAACAGGATTTCTAAATATATAGGTTGTTTATACTTACCTATGACACTGACGAGGATAGATGACGAAATATTATGATTGAAATGGAAGTCTGAGTATGTGAATGGCTTCGTTCATGCCTTGCTATGAAACCATTTTGATGGTATGCTGAAGTCAGATTGACCTATTTTAGATTATGACCTTCTGGACAAGATAAAATAAGACAGTGCCGATTTTAATATATCTTACAGAAACTCCTGAAGGTGAAGGCAGAAGCCAGTTGTGTTTGGTAGGGAAAGTATATTTGAACTCAGGTAGATATGGAGTAGCGTAGGAAATATTAGCTGGCCATCCATACGAGGAAAGACTGCTCATACAGGGTTTGTTTCATGATCTATGGGCGATGACTTATAGGGTGCTTTGAGACATTTATATCCGCTGGCATTTACAAGTTCAGTAACGGCTTCACATCTTAATGAAATAATTTTTTCGAGAATCGGCTAACCGGTACAAACGGTTTTCGATTGATTTACAGCTTTTTTAGCTGATTAGAATGTACTGCGTCTTATTCATTCTTAATATATTGAAAGGCTCTGATAGTCGACATGAAGACGTTGACTTCGGGTTATCTTTGCACTTTGATATGTCTTGAGTTGATTGGACGGCTGACCAGATAATGAACCATACACAAAAGACATGAAAATGCCAATAACTTACTTTTAGTCTTCTGAACTGTCACATCGTCAATAATAAAATAGATCCCAGGAATAATTCTGTGTGATAGGAATGCTTTATCTTTCCTTTGGTCAGCTCCAAATTTTAAACTATGCGTTGCCGTATTCTTTTGAAGAACAATGAATAGCCCAAGCCTTGAATTAATTGATATCATTCATGATTCGCAAAAGCAATAAAACCAGAGAAACTCTGTTATTATATCTACTTTACAAACCTTAACTCTTGACATGATTTAAAACGACACCAGGTCAGAGTTGATTGTGAGGTTGTTCGTACATTAGTATAAACAAATAATTTGATTACTGGGTTCAGTAGGCTACGGGAACTATTTACAAACGAATAAGCGTTGGTATTGGTGAAAAATTAATTTAGGTGGTCACTAAAGACTTTGTACAGAACCGATTTCATCTGAGAGTAAGTTTATATGCCTTGTCTAACCCCATCTTTTTGATTGCAATGGGTGAGACTTGAGCCCATGTGAAGGACTAAAACATACTATTTTCTTGTGTTCCCATATCACATTATGGGTGTAGTTGAATTATTCACCAAAGTAATCTACCACTGACTTCCTGCAACTGACAACACGACCCGCGTGTTAAGACATTTGGAATTGTTGCTGGCTGCTTTAAAATCTAACAACTTCTCCGATGGCTTCCTGTTCAAGGAGTGAATTTTTGATGACATTGTCCAAGGAATCTAAGAACTTAATTTATTTGCCAATTTTTGTATTCCTGTCGATTTGATGTTGTCAGTGTTTCTTTTAACCAGTTTATGAGTATTTATGGGTCCGTCAGTCTTGAGGAAGACAAATATGTTATCTGCCAAACTGGTCGGTATCTTCCGTCTGATTTTCAGTAGACCACAGCTTTAAATGCTCTATTGCTGCCCTTGATAAGAGCTTATATATAAAAAATCTCACTACAGTAGCTCCATTTTTTGATATGTTTGACTGACAGATTGAAGATTTGTTGTACATTACAAACTTGTGAGCACAATTAAACCCCTATCACTTACCTTTTGCGTATTCTTTACGTTATTTGTTCTATCCACAGAAGATGGAAAAACATGCTTAAAATATGGTACTGAACAAAAATCACTTGAATGACTATTCGCCCAGTGAAGCTCTTGGTTCTAACCACTGTAATGTCCTGGGACAACCAGATGTGCCTTTTTTTGAAATATACGAAAAAAGCCAATGCTGCAACGTAGATATGAGATAAAAAAAGCGACGGGGTTGAGGGACATATCTCAGAATTCACTCTCTTTCCTCTACGTGACCTACCATGCGGAAACATTTTCTACTGTATTATCTGTAGAAAGGGATAATTTGATTGAATATTAATTATTTGTTGGATTCCTATCAATTCATTTAATTTGAAACTTTAGTAGCCTTTGAAATTTATTTTAATCTTAATAGTTGTTTTTGTTTGAGTTTTCCATTTTACAATGAACTCGACTCAGCGTTAAAATGAAATCATCTCAGTTACGGAACCTATTAATGATCTTTTCACATGACGGAACAATATTCTCTACGTCCTATAAATCTTTTCCTTATACCCTTTCAAGATGTTAAACACTTCATCCAGTGAAGATGATGAATACGTTGGCTCAACAGAGAATTTTGGTGAAGACGATCATAATGGGACCTGGTTGCATTATGAGGACAGGAAGTGAGTGTCATTACCTATAGCTCAGTTTGTTCTAACAAACGTTTTCATAGAAAAACCTTTTTTGACTCGACATAGGAATTTCGTTGTCATGTCAAACTTTGTATAGTTAGAGTGAGGCACATTTCATAGATCGCTACTAGTGGCAATTTCCATTATTTTCTTAGGATAAAAATTGTCATATCTTTGACAGCTGCTTGTTAAACAAGTTGACTTGAATATTTTCTCACCATATTATTTTATTTTTAGTCGTTGAAAATTTTTTTGTTTCACAGTTAATGTTATCATATTATGCACTGAGCGTTTCAACAGTCAGCACTGAAATTTACCCTTCTATCCCATACATTTATTGGGCTTTGGATGAACTCTCTGAAGTCTAAACTTGAGATGATTCTCATTGTTAGTATTTCCACGTTAGGGAGCTTATAATAAAGGACTATAGATGTAATGACCCAGTCTTTTTGGAATATATTACTCTAGCCAACTAGGTAGCACTCTGAAAAGGATGTTGAACCATGGTTTTTACACGTGCTTCTGTCAGCAATTCTAAACGAGAAGCTAGACGAAACTTTCCTGCTTTGCATCAGGGAAATTATCAGGTCTTTCGTGAGACAGCGGTAAAATATCTGATTACCTAGACTTTTCCCATGACTATCATCTCAGAGCCTTATGTTTAGTCACTTTTGAAGGTTGTCTAATTAGGATCTAGAGGTTAGGTGCTCGCACATGAGACAGAGAAATCTAAGTTCGAGTCCCCCAAGTGGGGTCTTAGATGAGCGGTTTTGAAGGGTTCAATACTAGAACGAAACAGCTGTCCGGTGCCTTCAGGCCATCAATGCTAGCATAACGACAAACGGTTCATGAACTTAACTAAACCTCAACAATCTCTACAACCCTATACTGATATTTGTGATATACTGATTAATTTTCACATTTTTTGCACACTGACTTCTAAAAATGGTTTAAATCTCACGAAACTTTCAGGATATGCAGTATTTAGACTGACTTCAACTTGCTCATTCGCTAACATCAAGGACAGAATTTGCTTCGGAATTAGTGAAGCTCGTCCTGATAGATTTATCAATGTTTATCATTTATTTTTGACGTGTGTGTTGATGGAGTATAACATTATAATTTTTTCATATATTTTAATCGTTCTCTCGAGATCACCCTTATAATCTAGATTCTTAATGTGAAACAGCACTTCCTCATCTATGTACCAAGTATTTTAAAGCGAATAAGGTGTAAGCTTGTCTATACCCAGTAAAAATGAAGACACAAAACAGGGATTAATTTCATTAAAGACATAACATATCATTTTTAAAACTGTTTATAAAGATCAGATATAATCAAGATATCCAAATGCACAAAAATTATTTTGTCTGGGCACTTTTACACAGAGTGACCTTGACTTCAGCCATTTCAAGATAAAAATAACTGCGAACGACCGACCCCGGGCCACCGTTTTCTAGGATTTGATGAGTGTTAGTGTACAAAAGTTCGCACAAAATTTCGTTTGTCTCTCTCATTACTCCGATTATAAGTTTCATGTTTAAAATCAAAAGTGTTACCATTAGAATACCGATGCCAATAAAAAATCTGTTACTGTGTCTTTTAGGAGATCATTAAACTGTTTGTCATAAATGTTGAACTCAACGTATTTGGGACTTAATGAAAGGTGAAAACCCATTGGCCATAAACTACTGATATGTTAACCATCTTGACACTTACAAATGAATTTTTTCGATGACGTACTTGACTTCAGAAAAGTTAATAAACTTGAAATTGATAGCCGTTTTATAGATTAACAGGTAATGATATGTCACTGAGATTCTAGTTGATTATTGTAAGTTTTTTATTTGAATAATCGAAAACAGTTGTGACGTTCAAAAAATGACCAAGCAAATTTTTCGATGTCATGAATTCATCATTAACCCTCTTAATGTAGTTATCATTTTATCAGCCAATAAGCAACAAATAATATTTGAACAGTTAGGGTAGAAATCTGGACCTAAAGAATCAGTGAACTAATTAAAGATGATTTGGCACCTACTAAGTAGTTGTTGTATCTACGGTGAATAGTTTGCTGAACAAAACGGAGAGGAAAATTGCCTTTTGTGAAGATAAAGGCCTAAGATAAGAGGTTTCCATAAAAACCCTGAAACTAAGTATTAACATTTATTTTGTATGATTTTAAGTAACTTGCAGTTTTCATATTTTTGGGAATCCCTCACATAGCTAAAAGTTTCAAAGCGTACTGTTTTTATGAATTAAGAAAACAAAATTGACTTCTTTTATTGTGTTTTATTCCCCGAATGAAATCCTTTATAACTACAGTTGATGGAAAGAAGACTTTAAGAGAAATTTCATACATGTATATTGGTTTTTGAAAAGCTTGTCATTGAGTTGTATTGGCACATAATTACCATTTCCGAATTGATAAATACACAACACGCAAATTATTCAATTGGGTAAAAAAATTGAAGCTTACAATTAGGGTAGACATTCTTCTTAAGTGTGTAACTTTATAGCTGCTAATATGAGCTATGATGTTGTATGTTTTACTAATGAGGGTGGTTTATTTTTCACTTAAAGTGTTAAAACTACCTGTTGGTTCCTATTTGGTAGTCATTTAAAAGAAATTTCAAACATATAACTTTTCTTAACAAAGTGGACTCAGTTCACACTTAATTTTGGCTATTTCTATGGATGCAGAAACTTCCTATAGATTTAAGCGTTGTTAATAATTTGAAAGATTAGAGCGAATTAATTAGACTTTATATCATGGATATAGGTGCTCAAATGAATTTTAAACAACCGAATAACATTTGTTCTTGATAGTGTCGAAAATTCGAGTTAAAGTCGTAGATATACGTCACTTACAAAATAATTCATTTGAGGGGTTCTATACCAAGGTGAAGCAATCGTCCAGTGCATTCTGGTTTTTAGTGATCAATTAACAAACTTTGATCCTTGACGTAAACCACAAAATTAATTTATTATTAGTTTATGGTTGATTAACACTCACTATGCATGTGAAATTGGAAAGAGTAAGAAGTATTCATTACGAAACCGAATATATTGTATACGAATTATAGGTATATATACGATGTAGACCTAGACATTAAGTAGGCTCATAATAGACCCTCTCCAAAATTATGTCCAATTTTTTATATCTCACCAAAAATTTGACCTTTTGATGGCATGTGAAGAAAGCTACATAATTTATATGTGCGTATTGCCTCGATATAGCCTTAATTCATATCCAACTGATGAGTTCCAAATAGGACGAAAAGCGCGTCCTGGATTACACTGCTAGCCACTATCCATCTTTGCTTACAAATTAATTTTGTTTTGAAAAATTTCCTCAAAGGAAATAATTTGACTAAATCGGTTCCTATAAAATATTAAAACAGAATAACTATTGATCAACAATCAATCTATTCAATTGAAATTTTCTTCAATTGACCAATAAATACCTCAAATTAATTAATGAATGAATTCATTATTTGATAACAGGAAGTAATTAAATTTCCCTACCACTGTTAATACTACTACTATTCAGTTACAGGAAGTTGATGAAATTTTTATTGTTTAACTTAATGTCAGCATGGAATTTTTGAGAGTGGAAAAACAAATTCTCTTACTTAAGACTTAGATGTATGTATACAATCGAATTGTTAAACTTTCCAGATTATTGACAGGACTTATCTGAAGCAAATTTGGAAGTAATATATTTTATTATGAATATTTAAAGCAACACAAAACGTATTTTCGTTGACACTAACCATAGTGTTCTCAATATTTACTTAGTGTACCATACCCAAAGTTTCGAACAATCTTTCTGTCCGTTTGATGAGTGAGTACTGCATATTGGAGCGAGATTTGAATTGAAAATTGTTCATGTACAGAACATTAACTGTGGTTTTGTTTATTTATTTAGTTGTATAGGTCAGTTCATTTTGCTGGTAGAATGAAAATATGGAACTTAAGTGATTATAAAATTGACGTTAAGAAATTATACCTAGTTGTAATTTAATCAGAATGCAAGTAATATAGATAAATAACTAATTACTGATAACTCAAAAAGTTAGAAAATATGTATATCTTTTACGTGAATAATAAACCTGTTAAAGTTCTCAATATTTTTGCTGGCATTAAAATCACAGTAGGTCCGATACATCATCGTCCAAATGACTCTGAACTTTTGAAATTTTAGGGTCTTTACAAAGGTGAAGATAGTTCTTAACTTCTGACCGCATTACTTCAAACCTGAATACTATCCAATCGTCCGTATAAATAGTAGTCTCTGATTGTAGATACTATATACAAACGAATAATGTTTCTGTATCGGCTATGGCATAATGGGCAAGGGACCTAGGGAGGTTTCAAAAACAAAATTGACTATTCCCTGGATCATACTAGGTGCGCTCAAGGTTTAGTTACTGTTTTAGAAAAAAACCCTGTAACAGAAGCAGGTGTTTCTTTTAATTTAGTTCCCACATCATGTTACATCCGCTGCGTGGTTGCAAAACCAATACGGTTATCAGTTTTAAGCGTCTTTAAAGGCGAATAGGGACAATTTTTACTTAGTTCTTAACAGAGTTCGAACTATCCATTATTATGTTTTGAATTTTATGTAAAACGACAACAGCCACTATTTTAGATATGTTCGGGTTTTCAATACAATGTAGTTTTGATCGCGGTAATTTTTATCACTTACAGGCTACGTCAGGTGAACCGTTAAAAACCAAGAAGGCTCTATAAAGGTCAGGCAATAACTTAACCCAACAGTTAAATTTTATCAGTGAAGGATTTTGTGGAGATTATAGAATTTTCCGTGACTTTACATCATGAACTGATTCTTGTTAGACTCTTACTGAAAACCTAAAGTACTAGACGGCCATTTCGTCCTAGTGTGGGACTTCTTGGTTAGTTATATCCTACTTTTATGAACTGATGACTAGCCTGTCAGACACATATGCAATAATCATTTATGTTTT